ATCTAGTAGTAATAAACCTTTTGGAAATAAAATAATAATTTTAGGTAGAGACTTTCGTCAAATTCTCCCAGTAGTAAAAAACGGAAGCAAAATTACTATTGTTCAAGAAACCATAAAATTTTCCAATTTTTGGCCTTTATTTAATATTTTTTATTTAAAAAATAATATACGTTCAATTGATGAGAAATCTTCTTCATTGCTACTGGATATAGGAGAAGGCAAAATTAAAACTTTCATAATTCCTCAGACAATGAAAACAAATGATGTATGTTCTAAAATTTTTAATAATGATGATGATTCTTTTATTAGTAAAGCTATATTAACATCTCATAATGAATACACTCATTTTTTGAACAAAAAAATTTTAAATAATATGGTAGGAACATTAGTAACGTACTATAGTATTGATGAAGCAACTCACAAAAGAGTAAATAAATGAGACGATAATATTCATATTAATTTCCCTGCAGAATATTTAAATTGAAATAAATCAGGTCTTCCTCCACATAAATTGAATTTAAAAATTAACGCTATTGTTATCTTAATACGAAACTTAAACATATCTGAAGGACTTTGCAATGGTACAAGATTATAAATTACAAAATTATTTAAACACAACATCGAAGCTGAAATAAACACAGGTGAAAAAAAGGAAATAAAGTCTTTATTCCAAGAATAACACTACAAACAAACAATTCTTCTTCTCTACCATTTATATTGTACAGAAAACAATTTCCATTTACCTTAGCTTTTTCTATGACTATCAATAAATCTCAAGGTCAAAGTTTTGATGCCTTAGGATTATACCTTAGAAAACCATTATTTTCTCATGGGCAATTATTTGTTGCATTGTCTAGATGTAGAAACCCAAAAAAGTTTTTATCCAAATTGAATCAGAAAACAAATTTAAAATTAAAAATATTGTTTGGAATGAAATTTTAGAGTAACAAAGAAACTATTCTATAGTTCTCTACTAATTTTATACTTTCTTGCAAATTTTCTCTTTTATCAAAAAAGCAAATTTCAGTGCCGTCTAGTACCCAGATTTAATCATAAACAATCCGTTTTTTGTAATATGTTTCCAAATACACCATCATGGAAGCAAAATTTTATCAGTCTGACAAACGTAACTTAAAATTTTTAAATCAAGAGTATCTATCATCTTTGATTCAACACGAAAAAATTCACAAAGAAAAATTTTTTGTATGTGATCTGTGTAGCATTATAATATTAGACAAGATAAACTATTCGCGTCACACAAAGGAATGTCAAAACATTGAAAAAAATTTTAAATGTATTAAACGCGAAAAAAGTTTCAAAAGAAATTATCACTTACAGAGACATTTGAAAAGTCATGAAAAAAACGTTCAAAAAAATATTTGTCAAAATTGTGGAAAAGGTTATGTAAGAGCAGAGCACCAAAAAAGATATTTTAGAGTATGTCATCAAAATAAACATCATAAATAAGATAATTGTAACAAATTTTTTTGTTATGGTCAAATAGAATTTAATGTGAAAATTAGACCACTTGTAACAGTTAACATATAAGGCTTCACGAAAATATTTACATTATAAATGGGGAAGCTGGGGGGAGCTGGGGGGAGTAGGGAGGGGAGCTGGGGGAAGTGGATCTGGGAGCTAGCCAAAAAGTAGGATTACTCGAATAATGCAAGATAATGAAAGAATAACTACTTTATTTGGGTGGGTGNGCTGGTTCTATCGATATTGTGATGGCGAGAAGACTCGTTCATGTGTATTCGCGTTCGTTTGCTTCATAAGGCCCCGTTTACAGTGGCGTGTTTGCTTGCTTTACCCTGCCTTAGCTGACTGTAGTCCTATCTAAAAAGCATGGGCGAAAGTAGGATTAAGCAGGGTAAGGTAAGTAAACACTTCACTGTGAACGGAGCCTAAATTTACATTTATAATATATTTTTGTTTTCATCTTTTACTATAAACCATATCCAACTTGATAAAGTATACCAATGAACAGTAAAACGTAATATCTTAATATTAGCCGTATTATAAAAATAAACGTAGTAATATTATTTGTTACATTAACGGTATCTCTGTTGTCATTGAAAACTTTTTTTTAGTTTATAGGTATCAGTACTTCGATTTAAGGTGGCTGTACGAGACTACAATTTTTTGAATCTACAAAAGATATTATAAAAGATAATTTGGGTTGTATATATGCAAGAAATGTACAGATGTAGATGATTACGACTGTGATGACAATGAAAACTTTTCCTTGTAATATTCGTAATTTTTGCAAATGAAAACAATTTCGTACTATTACTGTGTTTAATTTTAATGTACAATTTTGGATCTTAGTTTGAACGTTTTTTATTTGATGGAAAGCGAAATTCTGCACATTTGACACGAAATTTGTAATCAGTGACCCCAAAACCCGAAAAAACGATATGTAACTTGATTATGATATATAATATATGATATTTCACCCCCGGAGGTGGTCAACAGGGGATAAAGGGGGTAAAATTTTGCTTATTCAACACAAAATTTGTAATCAGTGACCCCAAAACCATAAAAAACGATATGTAACTTGATTATGATATATAATATATGATATTTCACCCCCGGAGGTGGTCAACAGGGGATAAAGGGGGTAAAATTTTGCTTATTCAACACAAAATTTGTAATCAGTGACCCCAAAACCATAAAAAACGATATGTAACTTGATTATGATATATAATACATGATATTTCACCCCCGGGGATGGTCAACAGGGGATGAAAGGGGTAAAATTCTGCACGTTTGACACAAAATTTGTAATCAGTGACGCCAAAACCATACAAAACGATATGTCGCTTGATTATGATGTATAATACATGATATTTCACCCCCGGGGGGTAGTCAACAGGGGATGAAAGGGGTAAAATTTCGCACATTTGACATAAAATTTGAAATCAGCCACCCCAAAAATGGCTATGGTTAAATTTTGGAGTGAATTACTTGAATTTTCGACTTTTGACCAGCTTTTCGGCCGCACTGTGTGACGTTCTGAGACTTGAAGTTTATGGGTTCGCAGATGAGTCTAAATTGACTGATGGAATAAAGTATGAGTACATTAACTGGTTGAAATAGAATGTACTCCACTTAACTAACTGTTCACATTCACAGGTTAGAATTGAATGCTGCTTTTTTCTTTTAAAGTCGTCGATTATTACTTAATAATTAAAAATTTTGAAGGTCTTTAAATACATATCTAACCCGATTGAAGAAATGTTTTGTATTGGTGACAATGTGTTTCCTAAAAATGTACCATTTATATATCCAATAGTTATGCTGATATTTAATCTTCAATGGTTGGTGGCATGACATAAAATAAAAAAGTCCTGTGATAATTGCAGTTAACGAGTTTTTTTTTATCACTATCACCTGATCAATCATTGCGGTTTGAAGGGCTGAAAAGATGACATGAGCTAGATCTAGTATACCTTGAACTCGACAAAAGAAGTCTTGAGGGATTTAAAATTTAAATTGAATATATTGAATGAGACTTATCTATCAATGTTTAGAAAAATGTAAAATGATAAAACGATACCTGTGGATCTGTTAATCTACCTTTTTTAGTTTTGAATTTTGCCGTAAATCCTTTATACTTAGTTCTGTTTGGTTGGAGATCGATCGGTACTTTTTGATTTTCTCTTATCAAGGGCAACGTTTCTTTCTTATATTTAAACCTATAAAAAAAAATTAAAACGTAAATCCATGAATCAAGAAAACTTATCCAAGAGAAATAATTAAATAAAATACATTGTATTATTTATCATGAATCAATAAGATCAAGCAGACACATGAAAAATTTTTGGTTAACATTTAAAGGAAACTCCTCTAAATAGTTTATTTCATAGATCTTTTTACCTTAGACAGTAAAGATTATCATCATACAAAAATATTTATGAGGGACCCTAATCAATAACTGTTAAAGTAAGACATTAATTTAAGATGTTTGCAGGTGAGCAGGTTATTTGTGTTCATAGATGGTAACATTTGCAAAAGATATTCAAAAAAAATGGGAAACCAAATAATGAGTAATGTACCTAATGGCAGATACTTACCTGCCGCTGTCATTTTAAACACCAGTGTTAAGTATTCCGTCCCGTTTGTTGTTAGACTGTCGAAGACAAGAGATGGCAGTTCTTAAAAGGCTTACGTTCTAGTATTTATAGATATATGTGGTCACGCGTGCTCTCCATCTAGAGATAGTAAAATATTACTTCTCTAACTTCTAAAAAGTTAAGAAATATATTTAAAAAGCTTTAAAACTCGTCAGTTACAGTTAAAGCTTTTACAACTGGGAAGTAATTGAAATTTTAAACCCTTGCTATACCATGTTAACGTATATTATGGGGGACAGTACTTGATACAAAAAGTATCATCTTAGAAAAATTATCATCAATCAATTATTTACCTTTTTAAAATATTCTACTCTGTTTTGTCACATAAAAAACTGTCAAAATTTGAAACCTTTAACCCTGTTGGATCGTACATAAATTGTTATTACAGCTAAAATAAGTACAGTGACTGTACTGCAGTGTGCATGATGGTAACACCTTTTTGTGCAGGAAAGAGTAGAGAGAGAAAGAGAGAGAGAGAGAGAGAGAGAGATTTTAATTTTTTTTGAAAGCTTTCTTGTTATACCAAGGGTATAACATCCAAATGACAATTACTGATATACAAAGATATTTTTAATTCTTACAATTTAAGGCAATCTTAACAAATTTATACAGAATTTAATTTTTACATGGCTTACGGTTTGACATAACTATATTTATACATGTACATAGCTTAACTTATATAAGAACTTATGTTTAATTGCATTCAGTTTTATTTCTATTGGCACTACGCCCGCAGGTTTATAATAAAAGTAGAAATTAATTACAAGAGTAATACTGCCAACACAATCATATCAATATAATTACAATCAAAATCATAAGTGTCTTGTAATATTACAAAAATTTCTTATAAGTCTCTTTGTGCTTGGCGGTCAATCGATTTGTTATTCTAAATAAAAACGATAAAGAGTTGTCTTAAAAACATCCAACGCATCAATCTGCCTAATACCCAACGGAATAGTATCCCACTGTCACATAACTCTCTGGGAAAGACTGATGCGTATGGTGGCAGCGATGCATCGGGGATTATAAATGTCAGCTTATCATGACTTGCGAAGCGACGAAACTTATTCGTAAACCAAGAGAAAAGGTCAGATAAATACGAAGGCTCACCCGAGGCCAAGAGCTTGTAGACAAATACAGCAAGAAAGTACTCCGGCCTAAAGCTCGGCTGCAACTAACCCAGGCTTTTATAATACTGGGAGAATAATGCATCCCGTCTCAGGTGAAAGATGTACCGAACAACACTATTGCGAAGATGATCAAGCTTGTTGGTTAGATATCCGAGATACTCTCATGTAAGCCAAACAGGCATAGTCAAAATAATGCACAACGAGACGCATGGCAAGGGTAGTCCGAAGTCGAGGTGAAAGGATACCACCCCTATATCTAAGACGATATAGCACCCCATGAACCCTTGAGCATATTGCTGCAACATGAGCGTTTAATGAGAGATCTCCTGACAGAGTCTTCCCCAAGTCCTTAACTGAAATAACAAACAGGATCACTCTACCGACAGCCATCAGAAGAGGTGAGGCCAAATTCAGACGCCCAAGCTACAACCCTCGCAATATCTGCATTTAACCTACCCACAGTCCCAGGAAGCTCCGAAGGCCTGCATTGTGTATATATGACTGTCGTTCGTGAAAAGTATACTCCGCACTATAAAACTGTACTGACAGAATAGAGTTTATAACTATTAGAAACAAAATTGGTCCCAAAGAGGAGCCTTGAGGCACACCTGACGTACACGGAACAAAATCAGTATGAGCTCCGTCCAAACCAACAACAATCTGTGATCAATCGGACAGGTACGAATGAAACCACCTAATCGCGTCCGCAGAAAAGTCCATTCTGTTCAAAGCTTTCAGTAAAACCAAGTTACTGAGAAAATCAAATGCACGCCTGAAATCAAACAGCATCAGTATCGTGATCCTTTTGGATTATCCCAAAACGAACATGTTCGGTTAACTTAAGGAGAGAAGACTGTACTGTGGCCTCTCCGAAAGCCCAATTAAATAGGTGAAAGAAGTCTTTGACCCTCCAAATAAGCCACCACCTGTCATGGCACAAAAACGTCCTGGACTTTTGCAAAATGTGTCATATTCACGACTGGACGCGCATCGGAAGTGCTGGCGTGATGCGATGTCCTGGAAAGTGGAACAATTATGATTGTCGCTGAGGTGCAGGGTATTTGCAAGACGTAAGCGAACCAATGATAAGGCTGGTAAAGAACAGTACAATGGAGCAAGGGAGCCACGAAAATGTAAAAGGTACAACCCATGGAAGTTTCTACCCCATGAACGAACCATGCAATGCGCAATCACCTGATATACCTTCATACACGACATCGGAGCCAAGAAGAAACCATCAGGTTGGGTAAGCACGTTTCTGAAGATACTCTCTAGCTCCCATACGATGCATGGAAAATAGACAAAAGACATCGCTGAGAAATGCTCGGCCAGTGCCACAGGTAAAATAAAGTTCAATGGTGACCGCGGCGAGCCCCTAACTATTCCATATCTATGGAAAATATCTAACACTGAGAAGACTCACGTGCACTCTCAAAATTTAGATTCTTAGCCTTAGTTTTAGCTGTCAATAATAGCAAATAGGTAGCAGAAGACAACATTGGATAGAGCTTTATTATATTGTTTCCAGATAATTTCCGGTAGGCATCGAAGAATTTTAGGTCGCCGAACGCTTTTTTCTTTCATATTATGAAGTCCCGTGTCGAAGTCAATTAAAGCCAAACAGCGAATGAGCCAAACCCACCCTTACCGCTATGCCCCACCTCCAGCGCACCCTTATTAACCAACGGTCGAACCTCAATAATATCAGACATGAAGGCCTTCAAGCTCAAAACCGTCATAATTCTGTTTGTGACCTTGGACAGGTCGTATCTCTTATCAAGATGCAAGTCCGTTATCCTCAACTGATCAGAAAAATTATTTGGGTACTCCCTCACACTATCCGAGCAATCGAGCTTAGTTCTCATTGCAGCATTTGACGCCTCCAGCTTAACAATACGGCGATCGTGGTCGTCTAAACGACGCTCAACACGCTTAATAGACTATTGGACCACACGACTGGAGCTTCTGATCTCCTTAAAAAGAGCAACAAACTATTCCGAAGATGTAAAAGATTCCCAGTTGCTAGGCAGATCATCACATACGCCCCCCTGTAATTCCTCCGATCTAGTCTCAGAATCGAATACGTTCAGAGCTTGTTTCATCCCCTTCATTTTAACTATGAAGAATATTAACCTCAATCAAATACATCTCAAAATTCAAATTTGACATATTTGGCTGATGAACAGTCGGTACCACAACTCCGCGGGCGGTGTCAAATTTACGAGAGCCTGAAATAACTCGTGGCTGTGAGAAGGCACGAGAGGACGCAGGTCTGACACAACGCTTTGATTGCGATAGCGCATGAGCACAACGAGTGCCAGTTCCCTTGTTTAAGGATATTTTGTCAAAACACGATTTATGATGAGATCGATTGCACAAATCACAGGTTTTACCGCTACTTAATACGTTTCGCTACCTTTCGCAAACATCCAGAATATAGAACTGCCTCACCACGCATCTATCCGGGGGAACTGTCAATATCAACAAAAACAATTTGCTCACAGTAACCCGTTACACTAATAAGGTACTGGTAAATGTATGCAAAATAAAAAGTTAAATAAATTAGTTGACTAATCAACGTGAACAATAAAATAAACAGTGTAGGAATACTCGCTTACACCAGGATACTAAATTAGCTAATAATTTTGCAAAGTCGTGTTACAGTAGTATCAAAAGGCAAACTTACCAGCACTAACACTGGCACATCAAGCATGCTACCACTACACTAAGCGCACAATTAAAGCAAACATAAAGTAATAATTAAAAATAGGAAAATGCAGATCTCAATACTATTGAGAGTGCTTCCTGTACTATTGTGTTTATGTACGCTAAAAATACAAGAAGTGTCTACATCCTATAACATAAGTCAAACGCTTGACAGAATAGCAACAAAGATCAAGAAAATGTAGTGATACGTAAATAACAGCTAAATTAAATGTATATAAAATATTTTAAAATAGTATCGGAAGTCACACACAGTTATCTCTACACTGAATATTACAACAACACATAGTCAGAATACACTGTAACAGAAAGTAAAATAGTCGGCACAATTTTATACACTGGTTTACATATGAATAAAATCAAATTTGAAATTTAATTGAATTTGAATATAAATGTAAATTGATCAATAATTTTTAGGTGTCCTCAAAAATTGATTACTTTTTCCTCCCTCTAACAATCTTAATTAGCAATTCAGCATTACAGATATGGTAGAACCGTGCCCCTTTTATCGGCTGTTAATTTTCAGCATAGGAAGTTAAAAATTACCGTATAAGTAGTTGCAGGCAATGGTAACCTTAATTAGCACAAACTATACCGCACACCAACAGGTGTTGCCACTGAATGAACCAATGTCACCTCCTAACTTCCGTGCTGCTAGACCCTAGAGATAATGTGCTAAAAACTGGACACTGCAGCAACGGAGGCATCACCAACAGGCAGTCACAGATCCTAACCGCAACACACTAGACGACTTTCAACGGCCAACAATGACGCTGTAATACAGAGGTGTAAGTGATACCTCGCTTGGCCCCAAGAAATCGTCCAGGAAGCTGCAGATGGACCAACAGTCAGAAGTTGTAAGCCAAATACACCGCTGCAACCTGATGTAGATGTTCGCACAAGTGTCTGAGCAGTCAAACGGTTGGTGTAAGCAGCTAACTTTCAGTCCCTTGAGGTTAGGGCAGCACTTCCAGCTGATAAGATAATATTCCCAAGCTCTAAGTGGTTCGGAGTACCAAACGGCGAGGTGGGAGCTTTCCTGGACACAGATGTAAGGTTTCTAGCAACAATGCACTAACAAAGGTATTACTTCTTTAAAACTATGAGAAAATATTCAGGAGTACTAAAAAACTGTGTACACTGATACTCACCAGTCCAAGAGAGAGAAAGAG